CACACACTCTCCGGTCCGTGGAAAAACCTGTCTCCACGGAACCGGTCCCTGGTGCCCAAAACATTGGGGACCTCTGCTCTAGAGCTTTAGCAGCAATCTTTCTAAACTCTGCTACTTGAGATCCATTTAAATGCCAGAAATGCCACAAGTAAGCTGCTACAAAATGAAATTCAACATTATCTTAGAAATCAAAGATTCCCACAACCTTGTTCTATAAGTTGTGTCATTTTTTTCTATACTATATCCTAGGTTAGCAACTTTATCATAATTTGATAGAACAAAAACCATGGAAACTGAAAATACTAGTGATGAATGATAGTTGTTACCTCCCAAGGAAGGACAGAGCTGAGAGGGGGGGGGAACAACCTTGGTTCAGCCATGACCCACAGAAGGAATACTACGGTTTCGCCTCACTCTTACAGGTAGTTGACTTTTGCCTGGCTGCCGGAGCCATTTGCAATCCAGTTTTGAGGTTCTGACAGCCACACACATTCTGTGTGCTTGACAACTGACCTGTATTTACGGCAATTTGCAGCATGCTGCAGTCACATGTATATTCTTCTGGTTTCTGGCAAAGAAAATGCCCAGTGGGTACACTGGGTTCCATTAATGACTGTCACAATTAGTGGACATGTTCATTTAATAACAGCTGTATTCACTTAATGGTTGCCACAAATAGGTTATAAAACCAGTGGTGACCTGCTTAGTCCCACATGATCTATGGCCATGATCAATTATGGTTGAACTGAGAACTACCTATACACTAAAAAGTCAGGAGACCGAGACCCACAATGTGGTTTTGCATCAGTTGCAGCATTTTTACTTAAACAAATCAATAGCAAAGGAAGCCCAGTCTGGTTCTAGACTAAGTATCTTTAGAAGGATTATGTCTATGTAGATAGGTCTTTTTACACAGCAATTATAAAACTTTAGAGTATTTCCTTAAAATTGTTACGTTATCTTCAACAAGAAATCTTTCTGGAATTTCAAGTCATTACCAACTAAGATATTCATTCAATTATGGCCAAACAGTTCATAGCACCCGATTTTTATACTATCTAAAATCAGGAAATATTATATTTTAGTTGATGATTGCAAGATTTTGGGATAATCTGAAGAAGCTGCACACTAAGAGTAGGAAAGTCTAGAGCTAATAGTGGACTATAAGTAGTCCTTGCTGATTGACCATTCATTCAGCAACTCTTATGACATTAAAAAAGGAGACTTGCAGTCCTCGAAATTGCTGTTCAGATGCTTTAAAAACTATCATGCGTTTGCAACAGTCAAGTGTCCCAGAATCATGTGGTTACCATTTGTGACCGTCACAGCCGGCTGGCCAACAAAATCAATGGAGAAGCCAGCAGGAAGTCACAAGTCAGTCATGTGATGTCACACTTAATGACCTACAGTGATTTGCTTGACAAATGCAGCCGGAACTGATGTTGTAAGTCGGTGTGGTCACTTAACCACTGTGCTGCTTATCAACAGTTGTCAGTCCCAACTGTGGTCAGTAAGGACTATATTTATATGAAAACTGCAGCCACTAAATTCACAGGTTTAGACCGCAGGACCATACACAATCATTATATTATACTGCAGGTACCCTTAACATCTAAACTTGAGAAGTAGATGACAAAAAGTTAAATTATCATATAAGGAGGAAAAAAGGCACACAGGATTAAAGCTAGGAGCTGACATATGAAAACAACTAGATTCAGCTGTGCAGGATACATACTGTTGCTAAGATCTTCTTTCACGTGTAAAATAAATGCAATTTATCTGAGTCTCACCCTTAAATCTTCCACTGTGAAGCTTATGAATGTGCACTCAGTACCTAGAAAGAGATCTACTATGGGCAGGGTAAAGCTAATGGACAACACAGACCTTTTTCCTTCTGCCTCACTATGATTCTATAACACAGAATAATACATTGTAAGAACCATTGGATTCTTTAATCCAACCTTCTGCTTTAGGGTAGGGCCCCTCATATTATCCCAGACAAATGGCTGTTCAACAACTTTTGTTGAAAACCACCAGTGACAGACGTCCTGGAGGCAGGCTGTTCTTCTGCAACAAGTACAACTGCCAATCCAGGTACCAAATGTCTTGTGCCTGTGCATCTGTGTTTCTCTAAGAGCAACACCTTACATTTCTCATCACTGGACAGCATTTTGTTGGGTCTCACCCAACATTCAAGTCTATCAAGATCCTTTTGAATATTGGGACTATCTTGTGAAATATTAGCCCAAACAAACCCCACGCTTTGTGTCATTAGCAAATTTGATGGGCATTCCTTCTATCCTCTCATATAAATCATTTATAAAAATGCTGAGGAACACAGAACCCAGGTCAGTACCCTAAATGCTTCCCTTTATGTAGATGTAGATCATTAAGGACCATGTGCTGGATGCTGTTCTTCAACCAACTGCAAATCTTTCTGTTAGTGGGGCCATCCATCCTACTTTGCTCCATTTTTTAAGAAGGAGACTACGATCAACTTTAACAAATGATTTACTGAAATCTAGGCAGAAAGGTATAAAACTAGATCCTGTATTCCCTTGGTCTGTTAAAGTTATTAGTTTCTCAAAAAAAAAGCAGTATGATTTGTCTGGCACAATTTATTTCTAACAAATCTAAACAATCCACCTTGTTTCTTTCTAATGAACCTATAGCTTACATTTTCTAGGTACTGATGTTAAAGTAATTGTTGTTTCCTAGATCCACATTTTCCCCTTTAAAGACTGAAATAACATCAGCTTTTCTCCAATCTTTTGACACTTTCCTGTACGCCAGGAGTTTCCAAAGATTGTTTTTAACTTGATTACTAATGTATTTTTGAGGGTTCTAGTACACTGAATCATAACTGAATTGGCAACGTTATACTTGTTAAAAAACCAATGTCACAATTAACCAGACTTCTCATTTTATGAAAACATGTCTATTAGATTTTTAAATTACCTTGTTTGCAATGATATGTGGAACAAACTATTGTTATCCTTCACCCTCCCATATCCAAATGCTTTTCAACATCTTCAAAAGAAAAGTGACTTCTTCATTCATATTCCCAATTAGCAATATGCAAAATTTATCAATCTAAAATTGAACAGTCTACAGAATTATGGGGAGGTTTTTCTCTCCTACATGCTAAACCTCAGCCAGAACCATATCATTTCAGGGTCATGTTGTCAATTTCTAGAAATAAATCCTGAATCAGATGCAGTTTGAATTGCTCTAGATGAAATATATAGGATTCCTGGATTTACAACTTTTGCAAATCCCTATTCTTACCTATTCTTTTTATTATACAAATTTTATTACATTTCTCTGTAGAAGCTTTGCAATGTAATTTAGCTTAAATCAGTTTTCCCTAACCATTTATTTTACTTGATTAAAGCTATTACATTCATTTTGTACAATATCCCCTAAGAGTTCAATTTACATTTTTAAAGCCTCCATTTAAACATGCATTTTAGAAACCAGCTACACCAGCGGTCTTCAATCTTTCTGGCTAGGTGGACCAGCAGAGGCTGGGAGTGGCAATGTGGGGGGCAGCAGAGGGGATGGTTTTGTGCATGCGCCACTTTCACAAATACAGCTTCACGCATGCTTGTCCACCACTTCCGCAGCCCAGTTCTGAATGAGCTGCAGCCCGGCATCAGGCCACGGACCGGGTGTTGGGGACCCCTGATCTACACTATATACAACCATTTTAACCCATTAGCTATTAAGGTGTTACTGTCAGATATTATTTACTTCTCCAGAAATTTATAATCAATCTGAGCTTGTCTCTAAATTGTGAACAAACAAAAGACTATCTATTTAACTTATTATACAATAAAAAAACAAAATCACAACATAATATGACACAATGCAGAGATCAAACAATAAAATGCAGAAGCAAAGAGTCAAGCTAGACCCCCCAAGTCCCTAAAAATTCCAAATTCATTCTATTTCAACCACTTAAATCCTAGAAAATCCTTACAAAGGGGAGAATTCATCTGGCATCAACAAGAATACACAGTAGGTAACAATCCTTCCTAAAGAAGGAATTCTACAACTGAACTGCTACTACAAATGTAGACAATTAATATTTCAGCAATGGAATTCTTTAGACAATAGGGACATTCAAGGGTTCAGTATTTTTCTATAACTAAATATTCCAGAAATAATTGAAGGTGTCCCAGAAAAGAAGAGAACCGTGGCCCTTGCAAACATCATTAAAAAGACCCTCCTTGCAGCAGTTTCCAATTGAATTGCTGATTTAGCGAAATGATCACAAATGCAACTATAGGCAAAAGAGAACCTTCTGATAATCTTGACAGCACAAAGGGTTCAAAGTTTAAAACTACCCCTTTGGCTTGTCTGCAAAGCTGGCTAGAAACCAGCATAGTTGAGAAAGCACTGATTTACACTGAAAACTTAATTGTGATTTAGAGCCTTGCAGCCCTATTAGAATTACAAATCAGTGTCAAAGGTAGTTTCAGTGTTAAATGCCATCATACAAAAACTTATAGCTCTGAGCAATTCATTAAAGTTCTGAGCAACCCAGACAAGTTGCTCAGGACTACAAGAAAAATCTATAACTGAGAAAAATCTACAACTGTTTTTCTGTCCTGCAAGGAGGGGGAAGCTAAAATGTAGATACAAATCCTGTAAGATTTATATTAAAGGTAAGGCTAAATGTATGTTTTTGTTGCCACCAGTTAGCAAGTTCTCAAGCAATTTAATGCAAGAGACAGTAATGACAGAAAAGAACAAAATTTTAAAAGCTGCTCTTTCAGTGATGCTTTGAGTACTTAATTCAGTAACACAAATCACCTGTATAAACATTTGCAGACTATTCATCTATTAATTACTGAATGTGAAAACTTATTCAGAACTGTTTGAAAAGTGCAGTGATTAGTAATAAATATGGAATGATTTTAGACTTTTGAGAAAATTATGAAACGTCAAGAATATGAAAAACAAAAGAATTAAATATATAATTTATAATTACTCACCTACGACGAGTCCACATTCTGGACAAATCATGTCTCCAGCTCTATAATCTTCTACTAAAGTGGAATCTGGGTGGTTTGGACATGTCACTCTAGGCAGAACGTCCAAGCTTTAAAAAATATAAAAATCAATTTTATGTGACAATTTACAGTAAATAGCACTTGCTTTATTTAATTTTTGAATCATTCATTTCTAGTGCTTTCGGAAAATTCATTTTAAATGAAATTCACAACTACGACTGACATCATTTGTTACAATATTATATAAACCAGCATTTCCCAGGTGGTTTTTTTCAGATATGTCAAGACTACCGTCGCCATCCAGTAGTTGCCACTACCAAAATGGGAGGGCAGGGCAGGGAAAGGATGGACGATCTTGTTCAATACTATGGAGCTACATAAATGAAGATGGTTTATGTAATTCTTTAAAAATAGCATATGAAATAACTAATTTAACTAAAAGTCACATATAGCCTTGAATGGGAAATAAAAATTACGCAAAATTAGAGACTCATATATAGCTAAACTAATTAAACTAATAAGAAGTTGCTTGTTGATTATTTTTTAAAAAATACTCCATTTTCTACATAATAGTATTGGAAGCGCAAGCACCATTCAAGAATATGAGTTTATCATACAGATAAATATCCAAGGTGTATGCCCTATTAAATTCCTGGTTTTTCTTTCATTCAACAGCCATTTCTGCAATTATAGGTGGTCCTTGACTTACAGCCATTGTCAATGCTAACATTGGATGTTCTTGCTTTGACAACATATGGAGATGCAGCCTTTTTTCTTTCTTATGCTTTACTCTTAAAATTAGATGTGCTGAGGGGAGGGGGAAGAATGTGATGAGAGTTAGTTAGGCATAACAATATTGTAATAAGAGCTGATAAGGCATCAGGGATAAGGAACTGGGCGGAAAGCCAGCATTTCAAACTAATTGGAGAATGTGGTTTATGACTGTTAGTTGTAGGAGGGAATTGTGCTTTGATCTATGTGCTGAGGGGAGGAGAAGTCAGATTTTGGCTTGGACTATGTAAGTACCGACCTGCTCGAATATTCTTTAAGCATTTACAACTGTTGCATCCCCATGGTCATGTGATCAAAAATTAGCATGTATTTACAACAGTAACAAAGTCCAAGGTCTCATAATTGTCATTTACAACCTTCTCTGACAAGCAAAGTTAATGGGGGAAGCTAGATTCACATAAAGACATGATTTGCTTAACCACATCAGTTAGCATTAAAAATTATGGTCAAATTGTGGTCATAAGTCGAGGATCACTTGCACTTCTCTATAGAACTACCATCAACAATCTTAAAATAATCCTACATGCAGCATTATATTTACAAAACCAGCTGTATTAAATTCAATTAACAGGAGTACAATGATTATTTAAAAGAAGCACCTTAAACATATCTCATCTTATGTTTGTTACCTACCTAGTAAGCTGTACCTTATATAAGTAAAATGGAAATCAGATCACTTCACTTTAATACAAGAGTTATTCTACTTCAGGGGTGTCAAACTTGCAATGTGACGTGACGTGACGTGACTTTTTTTCCACTGCCGGCAATGAGGTGGTCGTGGTTTCGCCATGACGCATCCAGCCCACGGGCCAGCAGTTTGACACCCGTTTTACTTGAATGCGGTATATTGTAACAATGATTTTGGCTAAAGGTATTTTGTCATATCTGTTAGTGGTTCTAAAATTTAATATTTGTGTGCCCATGAGATAAACAATATGAACACAGTATTAGCTACTCTTGCATGTAATAAGTAGCCAGAATTCTGGAGGGTTCAAACTTATTCATAAATTGCACATTCATTCATAGTGCCCAATTTGTCTCCTTTAATCTTGCCCTTAAGAAAATCTAAAACAAGCAGAATCCAGCTGCAAGCTGAAATATTACCAATACATTAAAAGGTATCCTGGCTCCCCTGGATGCTTTTAAGCAAGTAAACTACTACAATGCCAACTTCAGATTGCTTTGTTTTTTTAAAAAAATATATGATTTTATTCATCCTACTAAAATCATATCAAAGAAAAGACATTCAATATGTATATTTGGTTAACTTTATTGGTATCTGAATTCAAAAACATGTTTTCCTTTCTGCATATATAAGCCATCCACAATACTAAGAATCTGGAAATAAAATAATATTCAAAAACTGAGTTAAGAATACTAACAGACTAATGATAGAAAAAATGTACTTTTAATTCTACTGTTGTTGTGTGCATCTGGGAAATAGTGCAAATAAATAAAGCCCAAAATAAACCCAATTTAATCTCTTGGAAGGAAAAGGGGACTGGCTTTTGGAGGTATCATCAGCAAGAATAAATTAGTAAGTGAATAGCACACACAAAATGATCTGTTTCACTTTACTAATCTAAGTAAATTGCTCACACTACCAACTTCATGGCCATGATACTAAGAAAAAACAGCATCTGGTACGTTGCCTAAAGATGAATTTTATAGATGTGAAATTCAAACATGCTTGACAAAAAAAACAACAGAATTAGAAGTAACCACAAAACTGTCAATACTCTTAAAAAGGAGCTCCCTGGAAACATTTTGAAGATAAATCATAGCGTTCTTCAACAAATATACTATACCCTTAACTGATTCCTCCCTTGGATGGCAAATATCTCTGCAATATTTTAACTTTTTTTATATGACCATTTATTGAAACATTTTTTTCCCGATCCTAGTGAGCCTAACTCTTAAAATTTAATTTAAACTTCAATCACAATCCCAAAGTTGTGTCAGCTTGGAAAACATACATCTCCTATAAAATGTTTGAAATTACAAACAGTAATGGCATACTCATGAACGTAGGTGGAAAGGAACCCAACAATTTTGTGACTATGACCCTAACATCTCATCTATTCCAATGAAATACCGTATACCATGCAAGCCAAATTTTTAAATTGGTTTAATCAATTCTAATGCAAGCAGCTGTTTTCCCCACTCATCTGGAGACCACTGGATTGGAAAACACTGGGGAATATACAGTAAGTCAAATCTTATATGTCATCTTATGTCCTGTATACTAGCTTTATATTTATTGCCAGTCTGAATTTAAAACATTTAAACGGACCATACTGCATTAAGAACCATTTGCTTCAATGTTACCATGCCTGAAGGTAAATTTGAACTTTGCTCATAAGACATATTTAGTAGACAAATGTGAGAGACGGAACCTCTTCATTACTGTTCCATTACTCAGAAATATTCCTTTAATTAAATTCAGTAATTCTCCTTACTGTGAGCCTTAGTTTTGTTGCTATACATTTCCTTGCCACCAGTTTTAATCTGCTCTTTTTATACCTGGGTAGTCTTAAACAGTATTAAATGTTCACTGTTACTGCTTTAGAAATACAGTAGTTAATTTAGGAAAACAGAACATCTTTATATAAAAAGAATTAATCTATTAGTGCATATACTTCAAGAACTATTGACATTTGGCTGCTAGGATTTCTCCAGAGCACTAGCAAGAGATAACAGTGATGACAGGGTGTTTTTGGCAATTCTTATTACTAAGCTATCACTCTTCTGTTTAGAAGAATATAAAAGTATTGATCAACAAAGTTCACTTTCTTCTTCTTGTACCAAATTTTCCCAGTAACTCTACACATTTATTATTAATTAATGAAAACCAAACAGAACAATGCAATACAGGAGCAGATACTTCTAAAACTGCTGCTTAATAAACTGTCTTTTTCCATCCAAGTAAAAACAAAAACTTTCACTCATTTAGATCCTATGACTTTATTTCCTAAATTTTAGAGACAACCAGTAACTCAAAACAAAGGCTAGCAATTATTGGGTGGAGCTGATATTTTTAGAAAATGAAATTTTCTTTTATCCTAACTTCGTTTTCATAAAGAACTCAAAGCAGTGAATACACATAATATTCCTTCCTCCTTCTATTTTCCCCACAAAAACAAGCTTGTGAAGTGGACTGGGCTGAGGAAAAGTGATTGGCCCAAAGACACCCAGCCAGCTTTCATGGCTAAGATAGGACTAGAACAAAGATGGGACAAGAACTAATTAGCTTTTATTTACCTATCAAATATTCTTAATTGAAAAACCCAACATACTATACAGTACAGAAAGTTAAAGAACATAAAGCTGGCTAAGACTCACAATTAATAACCCAAAGCCAAATATTCCTGTGATGCATTGGCAAATTTATACCATAAAACATTTTTCTACGTATAAAAGCAACACTGGCAATGGCAATGAAATTTATATTATATCTGCAGATGTTTAAAGTAAGCCTCCTACTGTTTTAGAGAATAATTTCTTCTGGCATTAATTTTTACAACCGTCAGAGAAAACTGTTCATATAATAATTCAGGGCTGCATTTCTTAAACTTTTTTTTTCTCTCAGGACCCCTTCCCACTTTTAAAAAGTATGAAGGACCACCAAAGAGCCTTTACTTATATTGGTCCTATTTATTAATATTTACTATATTAAAAATTAAATGTGATGCATTCATTGTCACTAACAACTGTTTGATGGTATTTTAATAGTGTGCTATTTTTCTAGAAGGGTTGGCAAATAATTTTGATTTCGGTGGCTCCTAATGGATTCCTGGGGGGGGGGGATCCCCAGACATAATACGACCACAGTTTAAGAAACAATGATTAGAGGTTTCTCAAACTATGGGTTATGTTCCTCACGAACACCTGAGAAGGGAGGCCCTTTTCTCTAAACCGGACCGGGCTTACACAAGCAAATGAGTCACTGGCAAAAACTCCAAATTTGCTCCCTACTTAATTTGTACAAAATAGGCTTCTGGGGGGGAAAAAAAAACTGTTTGCCCAGGAAAAAAACTGGATTGAGTTTGGCATGTAACCCTTTGCGAGAGAAAGGGCTTTCCCACACAAATTGGACAGTTGGGTCACCCTAAAATGCTAAATACGTGAGTTAATTGCAATAAACATTCCCTTATAAAAAAAAAAAAAAAGCCGGCAGACATATTCCCTGGCCACATCCCTAACGCATTTATTAACTTTATTCAGGGAAGTCATGCCAGGTCCATTTATCGCATGAGCGGATCGTGATGCCGCAAAATGGAAGGTGCTAGGAGTGGCGGTTACTTAATATATATATATATATATTGGTATTCCTTTCTGCTCCGTCGGTGCGACGGCCGACTCAGCCCCGGCGACGTCGGTGGTGAATGCGAAGGAAGCGCCTCAGCAAGGGGGGGGGGGNACTATTTGAGTGGACAGTCCACTTTTTTCACATTATGTTCACTATTTTTTTTCACAAAATAGTGGACATTTTTTTTATTCAAAAGCTTTATGATGAAATGGTACGTAATCTAAAGCTGTACAGTCTACTTTTTTTACTACTTAACCCCCCCCCCCCCGCTTGTCCGCTATTTTTTGGAAGCAGACCTGGCAACCCTATTTAAGAAACAATGATTAGAGGTTTCTCAAACTATGGGTTATGTTCCTCACGAACACCTGAGAAGGGAGGCCCTTTTCTCTAAACCGGACCGGGCTTACACAAGCAAATGAGTCACTGGCAAAAACTCCAGATTTGCTCCCTACTTAAATTTGTACAAAATAGGCTTCTGGGGGGGGGGGGGAACTGTTTGCCCAGGAAAAAAACTGGATTGAGTTTGGCATGTAACCCTTTGCGAGAGAAAGGGCTTTCCCACACAAATTGGACAGTTGGGTCACCCTACAATGCTAAATACGTGAGGTAATTGCAATAAACATTCCCTTATATATATATAAAAAAAAGCCGGCAGACATATTCCCTGGCCACATCCCTAACGCATTCATTAACTTTATTCAGGGAAGTCATGCCAGGTCCATTTATCGCATGAGCGGATCGTGATGCCGCAAAATGGAAGGTGCTAGGAGTGGCGGTTACTTAAATAAAAATAAAAAAAAAGATTTTGGTGTTCCTTTCTGCTCCGTCGGTGCGACTCAGCCCCGGCGACGTCGGTGGTGAATGCGAAGGAAGCGCCTCAGCAAGGGGGGGGTGGTGCGAAAAAAGCTGGAAAACGGGGGGGGCTATTGAGGTTGGGGACTCAAAGCGCCTAGAAAGGGGAGAGCAAAAGGCGGGGAAGGGAGCAGAAGGCGAGAGAAGACGAGCCACGGAGCGAGAAGTCGCTAGAAAGGCCATAAAGGGAAGATGCTCGCTAGAAGCTCAGCAAGTCAAGGGCGGCCGAGGCCTAAGAGGAGGAGCTCCAGCCACGGCTGCTCCCGGTCTCCCCGGACACCCTTCATTCTCCCGGCCAGCACCGGCCCTCCCCCTTTAAAACCCGACGTCAAGGCTCCCGAACCACACAGAGCCTCCCACCGGAGGCACCTTCCCCCCCCCCCCCCGGACTGACCGGCTCGTGGACGCCATCTTGCTTCCTCCGCATCGACTCCAGCAGGCAGACGGACTGGTTTCCTATTTAAGCCAAAGCTCCGGTGGGCGGAACTCGGCCAGGCCTAGTCGACGGAAAGCCGAACAAGTCAAAAAGCAAAGGGACGCGCTTTCCTTGCTTCCGCGGGAAGAGGAGAGGCGGTGCCGTTCCCAGGTCTGTTTTGAAGGGGGAGGAGGTCTTAAACCATATTTGCTAGGAAGTGGGGTTGATTTAGCCTGGTGGGATTTAAATTCCAGCAAAGATGTTGCATAGCCTGTTGCCTAGTTGTAAATTGTACCTCCGGGTAATACTGATGGCGTTTATTTGTGCGTTGCACAGGATAATAGGACCGCAGCGTTTGGGTGGTGGTCATTTACTGGTTAAACCCAAGCAATAAAAGAGCAAGAGCATCTTGGAAGACGGGAGTGGAAAGATTCCAGCTCAATTTATCTACTATCATAAATTTCTTTGCAGAGTATATTGTATGTATGTATGTATGTATGTATGTATGTATGTATGTATGTATGTGTATATATGCATAGTGTGTGTCCATGATGACGGGACAGTTTTTGACTCCTGACAATTGCCTGGACAAGCCTGCAGGGGTTTTTTTGTTTTTTTTTTTGCATGATTTCAAAATCATGCTAAGAAAACTCTCTCCTAGACCTGTGAAAGAATGACTGTCCCAAAGTAACCCAGATGGCTTGTGCCTGGGACAAGAACTCACAGAAATAATATTTAGGACTTGAGCATGTGTATCATATAGAAGCAGTAGGCGTGAACTTAAATGGACTCCAGAAGATGGTAGAGGACATGAAGACCTGGAGGAACGTTGTCCATGGGGTCGCGATGGGTCGGACACGACTTCGCAATTAACAACAACAATCATATGGAGACAAGATTTTATTTGACATGTAACGACATGCTATTCTATTACACCTTCCATGGGTGGAACTGTCAATACTCATTCTCCTTGCCACTTCTCATTTATGTATCCATTGTATCCATACAATGGGATGGCTATTCTGGGTAAAGAAACCCACCTGCTCCCATTCTGTAGATTTTTCCCACAATAACTGCCCTGTGAGGTCAACTGAGGTGAGAGTTCACTGGCCAAAGTCACCCAGCTGGCTTTCATACCTAAGATGGGACTTGAATTCAGTCTCCTGCTTTCTAAGCCCAGTGCATTAAGCAGACTAGACCAAATTGGCTCTCGCACACATGTGAACACTTATGCAAGATTTATCTTGTTGACCTTGTGATTTTATTTATTTATTTATTTGGCCATTTTGGTGACAAAATTAGCTAAGAGCATGTACAACTGATCTTAGTGAGACGCATGGCAGAAGAAATGCATACAGTTGCATGATGGTGCAGGTTAATGCATCTGAAAGTAAGCTACATTCAACTAACTTCTGTGTAAATATGCATATGATTGTTCTGAAGATCTGCAGTCCCATGCATTTTGAAAGAGCACATGGGAAATAACTTGCAAGTACAAATACGCAAGGACAGATGTGCTATCTAAATTAGGCAACTAGCTGCTCAGCAGATAAAGGATGGGATAATCAAGCAAAAGGAGGGGGGAACCTATACACTGAGCGATGACTTTGTATAATGGGGATTACATCTCCCCTCGCTCTGTTCTCTGGGAACTGGCATACGGTTCCCCACATTGTACTTAAGTCTATGTGATTCTGTGCTGGCATTGGCAAATGCTTTTGATGGGATTCCTGAGCAATCTGCTTCTCCATATTCTCTTGAAGGCTAACTGGGAAGTCACTCTGTCATGGGAAAAAAGCTAAGCATTAGGAACCAAACTGACCCAGCTAGATAATAATGCTGTTTTTCATAGACAGCCAGTTTGGTGTGATGGTGAAGATGCTGACCTACAAGTTAGGAGACTGTGAGTTCTAGTACCGCCTTAGGCGTGAAAGCCAGCTGGGTGACTTTGAGCCAGTCATCCTCTCTCAACCCAATCCACCACACTGGATTGTTGTTGAGGACAAAATAGGAGGCAGAAATACTACCGGTAGGTATGTTTGGTTATATATAAAGAAGCTGGATAAAAATATAAGAACAATAACAACACTACAAACCTATTTTAACATACATTCACAATTTTTTTCTTTACCCATATTATTTTTCTTCTTTAATTAAACAAGAAAATGAAGAAAGCCACTCTTATATTTCTATATTAAATTTATTATGTCTTTGCATATAAAATCAATGAAAACAAATAATCAGGTTAAGATTTATGACTACACATAAATAAATTACTGTTAAATAAATTATTTTTATGCCATAAAATTAGTTGATGATTCTTAATATTTTAACATAAAACGGTAATCATTGGAAACAGCCAGTTAAGACAGATGACACATCTCATTTTGTGAACTAAAAAATAGATCAAAGAACTAATAGGGAGATGAAAACTCCAGGCACTAAAGTAATCTGGCTTCTTTTTTCTATAATAATTCATCATATTTCTTTTACATTCTTTCTATTATATTGTTAGAACAATTAACCAGTGGAACAACCTGTCTCCAGAAGCGATGAATGCTCCAACACTGGAAGTTTTTAAGAAGAGACTGGACAGCCATCTGTCCGAAATGGTGTAGGGTTTCCTGCCTGAGCAGGGTGTTGGACTAGATGACCTCCAAGGTCCCTTCAAACTTTATATTATTATTATTATTATTATTATTATTATTATTATTATTATTATTATTATTATTATTATTATTATTATTTTATTAGCTCTATGTATTAAAATTATACCTGTACACATATTTCATATATGTATTTGTTTATGTAATGATTATGTACATTTAGGTATTGGTACTTTGTACTTTGATTTCTATCCTGATGACTTCCAGAATTCTTCCTTTAAAAATGCAGAAGCTCCAGTACTTCTGGCTTTTACCATCTGGAGAAATTAATATTTCCTAATATTTTGAAGGTTGAACTTGAAGAATTCTGTCATAGTAATAGGCAAGAAGCTAAAAATAAAAGATTGGCAATTTACTAGTAAATCGTATAGGTGTAGTTTTGTTTGTTTAGAGCAGTGATGGTGAACCTTTTAGAGACTGAGTGCCCAAAAACTGGCCCCACCCCCGCTCCACCCCCTGCCCCGCCCCCCACCCTGCCTGCTCACAGGGCCACTCACCACCTCCAGGGCCCGCCGCAGATCACCCAGGCAGCCCAGCAGCGCCATGGCGGCCACACCCTCTGCCCGCGCCCCACAGCATCAACTGTGCAGGATGGGGCGTGAGGGCAGAGTCTTGTCTATGCTGCCTGGCTGCCATGTCCTTGGCTGTGCTGCTCCGTGTGGGCCACATTCGGGGACGACTCTCCTCCAGGGGAGCTGCTGGTAAGGAGGGGGTCGTGGGGGGAGGCGAGGCTGGGGCAACGGCACGTGTGCCCACAGAGAGGGCTCCGAGTGCTGCCCTGGCACGCGTGCCATAGGCTTTCCACCACTGGTTTAGAGAAAGCACTTAATAGAATTTGATTTTACAAATGCTAGTGCCAACCTAATTTATTCCTATTTCATATGTGAATACAACAAATAATACATGAAAATATACTCTAGTTTTTGTTTAAACACTAAGAGATTAAAATAGTTTATGGCAATACAAAAAGTTGAAAAAGAGTGCTCTATAGCAGGGGTCCCCAACTTAAGGGCCACAGCCCAGTACCGGGCCGTGGGCTCTTGGCCAGCGGGCCGCAGAAATGGCTGGCCAGGGCACACACATGGGCACACATCCCTCCACTTGCACTAGCGCCCATGGCCGTTTGCGCATGCACATGGGCACGAATGGGAACGCTAGCACGGGGGGAGTGTGTACTTCCCATTAGTGCATGTGCGAATGGGCCACTAGCGCAGGGGGGTGCGGCCCATTTGCACATGTGCAAAGGGGCGCTAGTCGTGAGGGTGCAGCCGTTTGTGCATGCGCATGGCAACAGCACATGCCGCATGCACGAACGTGGCTAGTACTGCGCCAATGGGCGTGGCCCCATTTGCATGAGTGCACGCATGCGTCCATACAGTAATCTGGAAGCTGCTCTCCCCTCCACACCGCGAGCCTGGAAAGGTTGGAGACCTCTGCTCTATAGCAAGGTTTGCATCCAAAATATGGATATTTTGCCATCTTGCCATCTCTCCTTCTACAGGCTTGGAATTCTGGCCTAGGATTTCTCAGCGTTTGTACAAAGAGGTAGAGAAAAAGAAAACTATATGGCAGTGGTGGCGAACCTATGGCACGGGTGCCAGAGGCGGCACTCGGAGCCCTCTCTGTGGGCACACATGCCATTGCCACAGCCTTGCTTCTCCCTGTGACCCCCTCCTCACCAGCAGCCCCCCTGAAGGAGAGTCGCCAACGAGCGTGGCCCACACGGAGTAGTGCAGCCAAGGACATGGCAGCCAGGCAGCATAGACAAGACTCTGCCCTCACATCCCATCATGCAGTTGATGCTGCAGGGCGCGGGCAGAGGGTGTGGCCGCCATAGCGCTGCTGGACTGCCTGGGCGATCTGCAACGGGCCCTGGAGGCGGTGAGTGGTCCTGTGGGCAGGCAGGGCAGGGGATGGGGGGGCAGAGCAGGGGCGGGGCAGGGGGTGGAGCAGGTTTTTGGGCACTCGGTCTCTAAAAGGTTCGCCATTACTGCTATATGACATGCAATAAAAGCAGAATATCTTTTGCTACCAGTATAATGGAATGCAGCAGTTTAAAATCCTTTAGCACAGTGTTTCTCAAACTTTAAGACATGTGGACTTCAACTTCCAGAATTCCCCAGCCAGGGAGTTGAAGTCCACATGTCTTAAGGTTGCCAAGTTTGAGAAACACTGCTTTAGAATTATATTTATATATTTTACTGACAAATATTAAAAATTATTCGAGGACAGAAATCTACTGCTATTACGGCAGTTTGGAAGATGCCAGTATCAACATCTTTTAATTATTAATGCTAAATATCCAGCAGATGGCAGTATATTGTAATCTTTAAAAAAATCATTGGTTTTTTTTTTCTTCTTTTGGATGATGGAAGCTGTTTATTTCTAGGTCATTGTTTCTTCCAATTCTTCAGAATCATTTCTGCCGCATCTAGTGTGCTGTCTTTCTGCCAAGAAAGAATGCCATGAAGGTTAAAATCAAGGTTCAGTCATGGTATGTGATATTAAAGAGCAGAGAGAAAAAAAGTGATTTGGTTACAGTACGGCAGGGGTGTCAAACTCAATTTCATTGAGGGCCACATCAGCATTGTCGTTGTGCTCGGGGAGCTGGGAAAGCGTGGCCTGGATGGGCGTGGCCAGGTGAGTGGGCGTGGCCAGGGTAGGCATGGCCAGGGTGAGCATGGCCGGCTCGATGTCGCTCACGTCAGGGGAGGTGCCTATGAGGATGTGGGTGAGACTGGGGGGATCCAGGGGTCTCTGGCAGAGAGGGTCGGGACCAGGACAGGCACCAGTGACTGATCCACCAGAGGAACCTCGCCAACCCTCTTGGGATTCACGCGGGGCCCTGGATGTCTGTGCAGGCTGCCCAGAGCCCTGGGCGGAGGGTATCCAGCCCTTGAGCTCCCGGGGCGCTCGCTGGAAGACAAGGTTGGACGGTGGGGGCCGAGTATGCAGGGGCTGCGGCATGGCAGTGACAGTGACCGGCCAGGCTCCCTCACCACGGCCCCACCATCTGTCTTTGCTTGCCTGCAGCTGCCATAGCTAGGACAGGGAAGGCGAGCCTTGTGTTTGACATGTCTGCAGTAGAGTGAATGTCACCTTTATAACAAACCAGGAATTCAGTTACTCTTGATAAATAAATGGTTGTCAATGATTTAGCTGCTAGCCTAGGAGTCAGCAGCAATATGCACATTCTCAAATGGAATCATAAAAAACAGAAATTTACCAGAAAGAAAATGACCTTATTCAATACTCTATTCCTGAAAAGTCTTCCATATTCAAATGAATACTTTAGAATCAAAACATCATTTTGTTTCTAAGCAGCGTTTTGGGGCATAGAAAAAACAATGTGAATGTCATAAATATGATCTGGAAATGAATAGTGGCAATATTTAAAAATCTTTACATGATTATATTAAAAAAGAAAAAAAGGAAATTCTGTAAGATCAATAGACTGTAGAACTTACTTTGATGAAGCAAAAGCGTATATATTTTTCAAATTGACCTTTGGTTTCTGGGCCACAAAATGGAGTCAGAGGAATAGCTGACAGTTTCTGAAAAAACAAAACAGAATTACAAGCTTACAGTACATTAAAAAGGATTTAATATGTGGAAACTCTTTACATTTTTTGGATGTTGCATTTTGTTTCAATTTTTGCTTCTGGTAAGGAAGAGCTTTCCTATGTTAAGCACCAAGGTCCACAACTGGAGATAAAAAGTTCTTCAAATTTATGGACATATAACTTTCCACTGCACCTCTATATCAGGATTACCCATTTCAATTCTATTTAAAATATTGTAGTTGAATAATTGAAATAGGAAGGGAAAAAAAATCGGAGCCTACCTTAGATTTCATCATCCATTTCACAAGTTTATAATCATAGGGTTTCTCTTTTTCCATGTCAGATAGATCTATACCTAAATAAAATAAAATAAATAACATACTAATTTAGCAGATTCCCAAATTTTCCTTTTATGCAGACTAGTACATAGTCACTGAAATATTTTGAGGACCACCATACAAATCAGAAATTAGTGGCCTGACATTTTGTAATAAGAGTTGTCAGAGTTTGGAACATTTTACCTGATTCATTTGTCACAGTTACTAACTTTCATAGTTTTAACTCCAACTTAACTTCTGTGGACCTCACCCCATTAAGAGGGCCTTAAGGGGCCGTGCGTAAGTGCACTAGTGCAGGGGTCCCCAACCTCCAGTCCGTGGACCAGTACCGGGCCGCGGCATGCCAGCAACCAGTCCGCACAAACAAGCAAAGCCCCATCTGTGGGATGTAGGCAGCACCCAAAACCACACCCCCTCCGGTCCACGGAAAAACCTCTCTCCACAGAACCGGTCCCTGGTGCCCAAAAGGTTGGAGACCTCTGCACTTGTCAGATTTTAAATTTTCATTTTGCTTGTTCAAATTTGTAATTTTTTGTTTGATGAATAAACATTAAGCAAACATCTGCAGAACACTTAAATGTTCTTAAACCATGAAGCTATCAACCTGAATATTTTCTCACTTACTGTTCCAAACGTCTGACCGCAGAACTCAGGTACCTTCATTACAGGTAATCCTCAACTTACAACCGTTCGTTTAGTGACCGTTCAAAGTTAGAACAACACTGAAAAAAAGTGACTTATAACCATTTTTCAGACTTAATGACTGTTTCAGCTCTCCAATGGTCATGTCATCAGAATTCAAGCACTTGGCAACTGGCATGTATCTATGTCAGTTGCATTGTCCCATGATCACCATTTGCAACCTTCCCAGCTGGCCTCTGACAAGCAAAGTCAATGGGGGAACCCAGATTCACTTAATGACCGCATGATTCACTTAACAGCTGTGGCAAATGGGACAAAACTCAGTTAACTGCCTTGCTTAGCAACAGAAATTTTGGGCTCAATTGTGGTCATACGTTGAGGACTACCTGCATAGATTTCTTTCTCCTGTTACCTTTCTAATGCAGCTTCAATTCTGGTGAAAATAATATCCTCCCTGTGCCATAAATTAAGCACGTCACTAACCTAGTGTGGACACATCAACAATCATAAAATATCCTCCCTCTGGAATAATAGGCTTTAATCCAATTTCCAGAAGCATCTGAGCCATTCGGTTCCGTTTACTTTCCAGCTCTCTAGGCAAGGAGTAGAAATAGCATTCCGGATCATCCATGCGTTTGTAATCTAGCAAAAAGCTTTGGGCCAGGGCTTCCTGAAAAGCCAAACCCGTTAAGAAAAAGTTTAATTATATATCTGTTGAAAAGAGAGTTAAAGGAGGTTATAGATTTGTTATTTTAACAGTTTTCAGATAGAGTTAAAGGAGATTATATATTTAATATTTTTATAGTTGTTTAAGATTATTTAGAGTATGATTATTTTATTATTATTCCTGTGATTGGCTCTGGGAAGTGGGGGGGAGGGGGGCGGAAAGGTGGGTTTGAGGGAGGGATTTATATTGTAAAATGTTATAAAATTTTCAATAAAAATAAAAAAAGAAAAAAAGAAAAAGTTGAAATAATCAACATAAACAGAAGATGCTTATGAGATATAGGTTTAATATTTAAAATGTTATCTTTAAAGCTCAAAATTGTAATTGTTTTTCACTAAGAGAGCCCAACAAAATACATATTCCATTAACAAGAAATACAATGGACATTCTTCTATCATTAGGCTACATTTGTCTGTACACTTGTTTTCTTTCAATCTTCAGCCTCATTATTTTAATTAATTCAACTTGTATCTGTGTTCAACTTTTGTCAATATTATTCCAAATTGTTTAACCAGGATTATGGTTTTAGGATAATATAAAAGTATGAAGGGATCTAAAAAAAACTTTCATAATTTTTAATGAAAATTAAAATAAAATCTAGATATCTATTCACATTCCTCTCTTCTTCCTGGCAAATATTTGTCCCAAATATTTATAAAGCTTAAATCTAACCGCAAATATACAGAACACTACACTCTTAACGTAAAGGTTGTACTGTATATAGGTGACGCTTTGGCAAGTTAAAATTGTCTATAAAACTACTGGATAAGTTTAAAATTGTCTATAAGACTACTGGATATAATTGTCTCTAATACTACTGGATAAATTTCACGTTAGCAAAGTCTTGTAAAATGATACTCTGTTCCATTTCAGCCTTCATTTCTCAACAAATGAAAACTGAAATGGAGCAGATTTTCATTTTCTCAGATAACAGAGAAATTGTTATTTATTCCAATGCTGATTCACATTGGGCCTATTCATTAAAGAACCCACCTACTATTATGATTTAGCGTATGGTGTATCTTATATGGATTTGCAATATGCATTAATATTTCAACTAGATTAATAAATTGCAATAAAACACAAATGTTAAAAATATCTATATTCAAATACCAATGTCTCTAGTCTAGGCCGTCTAACCACTGAAGCACAGCATCGTTTATATGAAAAAAAAATCAGATAATCCAGTTTCAATTTGTATCCCTAACATTTCTTTCTAATCAATTTTAAATCCTTTCCATACTTCTGACTTCTCAAATGGTACATGGTGTTTTATAAAAACATCATTTCCTTTGTATGCTTTTGTACTTACTTGTAACGGGGTTGGGCATGTATAAATGGTGTTTTGTTGAACCACCTGCAAGTGCTTTATCAGATGTGAGGGACCGATAGACCAACCGAGCTGAAATGAAAGATAAAATGTGAATTACTTGTTGACTGTTTATTTACTTTTAAAAAAACAACAAATGCTAGGAAGCATTCAGGCGTTTGCTTCTTTCATCTATGTCATGATGTATACACTATACCTGTTTTGCAGATAAATTCGCATAAGTTATAATACACAAAAAAACCATTTATTTCCCCACACAAACCCCATCAGTCATTGATAGGCAACTGATATACTTAGAGAAGAATTTTCTTTCCAACTGATGAAAAATTTTCTTCCTAAATCTTTTAGGAAGTTATTATTGGGTAGCGGAAGACAATAGAATCAGAGATTCTGCAGTTAACCCTTTATTTAAAAAGATACTTTAAAAAAACCACCAAGAAAAAGGAAAACTACACTATCTAGAATTAAACATCTATTTTATAAACAAGCGACATATGTAATGATCTCAAAAAATACATATACATACAGCATTTATCTCTTTATAATTTCCACAGCAGCTGTAAATGTTGACATATTAAAATTCCCCTATGGTCATGCCCATTTGAGACTTTAATAGAAATCTTAAAAGTTTATTTGTATACATATGGGATTTATATATGGGATTTCTTCAGTTTTCATTTCTGAGTGCAACCTTTCATGATGTATTTCGCTGTTGTGGTAATGTCCCAAATGTCATCAGTATATTTTCAACAGGGCTGTGAAGAAGAAAAGATCAAAATGCCATGCAGGAGCATGGTCTGGAATTAGATTTAATTCTTCATTCAGTAATACCCATCTTTACATTCAAATTAGAACTGTCATATGAAATATACAGCTGGGCATATATTACTATTTAAGGTTGATACTAAAAATCTCTTAAGTTCAGTTCTTTCCAGCCTTTAATTTTTTAAAAATGTCTTTGGGTTTATATAATTTGCAAATATTGGTTTACATTCACTAATGTCAATATTCTAATTCAACACTATCTCAATATATGACTTTTCATGGAAAAAAATTCTAACTAAATCCATTACCTTCCAGCCAGTTACGCTGTATGTTTTCCCAGCACTTCCTATTGTTATGGTTCTCTCCCACATTCCAGGCAAAGTAGCTGTTCATATTAAAACAAGTTAATTGATATATTTTATTAAAATTTATATTTTGCCCTTCTGGTACACGGTCACCATTCAGGGCAGTGTTAGCAATTACATTCTGCAGAGATACCAAATTTCACTTTACAAACAGATATCCATTAAAATGACAGCATGAAGAGGGGTAGAAATAATTTTATTTATGGATCAATAAAATAAATTCAGAGCTGTAATTAATGAACTGGAAGAAAATATCTGACAAGGTAAAATGATTTTTCCAAAGTTCACAAGGATATGCATAAATAAAACTTTTCTATAATACAAATTAGCACTGAATTAAATCAGTCTTAAATTGCCATTCTCCAGATATGAGTTGGCTAGCTATTGGGGGCATATTGGAATGTATTGTGATGCCCCCAAATAGCTTGCCACGTGTTAGGGAAGTTAGTCCCAAAGCTGGCTATTCTATTTTAGCAGTGGATTTAAATATGAAGGTTACCATGGCACATTTGTTATATGAAGCAACAGACTGAATGCATTTTCATATCCAATCAGATTCAAAACTAATATCAGTAAGACAACATACAGATTCAGATCAGCAATATCCCTATGGAGCTGTCAGGAGAATCCACATTTACAATATGCATTAAGTTTGTCAGCACAACTTCCATTTTTCAGAAGGCAGATAAGAAAAATGTTTTAGTATTCTACCCTAGAGGAAACTATCTTGATGACAACACAAAGCGTATACTGATTCCATGAACTATCACTCACAGCCTCTATTAAGGAGGTATTGGAGAAACACAACCTGGTGTTGTAAATTGATGCAATATTCATTTTGTACTTTCATGATATATATGTCACTTCAACTGATGGAACATATGAAACTTAATATAACAACTCTGTCTCTAGGGAGAGGATTTATGTTCTCCTCCTTGTATAACTTCATGTACCAAAATAAATAAGCTAAAGAAAGATAGCTTTCCAGAAAAAAAAGGGAGGAATAGTTTGCTCAGTTTATAAACATAGCTATCTTTTATGCCTAGTTTTTATGATCTGAAACTGTTCCATGGGATTTGCTTAAAAGTAACCAAGAAGAAAGAAGTGTACATTAACAACAACTTCACCTGAAATATTTTATAATGAGTTTTCTATACATTCTATGCGGTGCAATAAAAATGCCTTCTGAAATTATACACACACACACACTTCACAGAACATAGAAAAATAAATTTACATAAAGAATATGACATTCTTTACACAATATCTTATAAAATAATGTAATGAAACAGTATTTGCTGATTTGACCTCTTTGCTTAGGCCTTTGGCAAATATGATTGAAGTTCCCTGGTTGTCTTTTCATTTGTTCCCATCTGGGTTTGTTATCTCAGCCATCTTTGTTTTGCAATGTTTTTTCTTGGTTTTTATGTTTTTAACTATTTGTAAACCTCCCAAAGTCACTGGCAGCATATGAATTTAATTGAATAATTAATGGTAGTAATACCAATGAAAATATTCAATTACTTTTGTCAAGAAGCAGTTTTCCAATTCCCATTTAAATATAAAATTTCATTAATGATTTACAGCACATAATAAATACCAAACTATTATGGATTGCAGAAAACAGAAATAACCAGTTAGGAAAGGAAGTGACAAGCTCCCCCATTGCTGGATGCATTTAAATTGAGGCATATACAGTAGCTATCTTCCAGAAATGTTCCGGCACTAAACAAAGGGTTAAGCTTCAAACTTCTCCTTCCAACTCTTATTATTTTATGAAAATAATTTAGCATTCAGAGATTCGGCTTTTACGGTGTGAATGCTTTCATAGACATTTCAAATGAATGTATGGTTTCATTTTGCAGCAATACAGTCAGTCTGATTCTCTTTTTGTAACTCTCATGTTTCCCTAACACTGTTTCTTCCCTTTTTTTTTTTCATTAAAAAGCAGCTAAGGAGAAAAGATGGAGTGGCTGCACAAAATCTTTTGACTGGTGGGACAAAGAATCCTTTGTGTGGAAACATCCAAAGTGGATGAAAATAATGAAGCTTGAATGGCTCAGACACAAAACAGGTAAGTGTGTCCAAGGTCTACCTACACCTCCACTGCCTGGAAAAAAAGATGGAAAGAAAAAGAATTTCATCCAAAGTAGAATGAAAAAAAGTCTCCCAAAACTGTAGGCTCTGAAATATATGCTGTAAAAAAATAACCAGATGGATTTCAGACACCTCCTTTTCTAATATCAAATGAATCAAATCTTGCAAAACACTTCATCCCACCTACTGGGTGAATGTGTATCTAATTAGAACTGATGGAGTTTAAAGTACTAAGAGTAAATCACTATACGGAGCAGAATGTCAGACAGTAATCATTTTGCAACTATACGCTTTGGGGCTCTGCCAGCAGGAAGAAAATTAGAAGTTAAAATATTCAGTTACCTTTGGATAAGCCAAACAGTAATTCATCAGCACAATTTGAATATATCAAATAATGCTTGGATGAGTTTTGGCTTGGAAGCTACACGGGGTCAGATCTGATTACTACCTGCAAAAGAGATCACCAAAGAGCTAGATTGGGAAACCCTTGAAGGAGGCAATCTGACAAAAGACCCTTCAGCATATCTGCCAAGAAAACCCTGTTGATGCATGCATGTAATCATCCCCATGAGTTCAACCCAGCTTTCTTTGAGTTATGTAACATTTACATATATAGTAACAATAACATTTTGTTGAATTATAGGACTTACACTTTAAGTCAAATACTTACTATCCTTCAATTTCAACATCATTTTCTGAAGTCAAATGTGTGTCCCTTTTTGCCTTTTGGCATTTTTAAAAATTCGTTATAATTAACAGGCAATATTTCATTAAATAAGTGGAGAGGGGGCGAATAGGACAACTCGCCCCAGACGATTCTCCCCGGCAGTCTCGCCGCAGCTAACTCGCCCCAGGCCGACTCACCTGGCCAACTCATCCCGGGACAACTCGCCCCAGGACAATTCAACACAGAATAATTCAAGAAAGGGACAAGCAGAATTGCAGCTCACCCTGGTCTCAAAGACTTCTAACTTAAGGTTCAAGCCTAAAGCAAGACAAGGCCTGCTGCAATTCACTTGTCCCTCTCTTGAGTTATCCTGTGTTGAATTGTCCTGCAGTAAGTTGTCCCACAGCAAGTTGGTCATGGCGAGTCGGCCACAGCAAGTTGTCCTAGACCATAGGTCCCCAACCTTTTGGGCACCAGGGACAGGTTCCATGGAGAGAGGTTTTTCCGCGGACTGGAGGGTGCGTGGTTTTGTGTGTTGCCTGCATCCTGCAGATGGAGCTTTGCTTGTTTGTGCAGACCGGTTGCTGGCATGCCGCAGCCCGGTACTGGTCCATGGACCGGGGGTTGGGAACCCCTGTCCTAGACCTTATCCATAGCCCTAAGCTATAAACAGTTTTTGATTTAGAATTATATGCAAATCCACCTAATATGATTTATTTTATGTAAATCAGACCATTATACCTTGTTCAACACATCCTGGTTAAAGTACACAGGCTTAGCATTACCTATGAGTACAGCCATGTTCTCAAATATTTAATTATTTAATCATTCATTCCTTTATTTATTCATTCATTCATTCATTAAATTTATATGCTGCCCATCTCACTCTGAAGAGCAAAATATAAGGAGATATAAACATGTTTAAAGTTTAGTTGTTCAACAGCTAAATTCAAAATGTTTTATATTTTTAAATATATATATATATATTAAAACAGTGAGAAAACACGAGCACCAGGGAATATGATAAAATAATTTGGTTTAATATTAAAATTACTAAAATTACTAATAAAATCAATTAAAATGCCTAGCTTTCGTCAGCTATCTGCTGACGTCCTCAGGGCTCAAGATGTCAGTCCATGGGAGTCATTTTTGTAGCTTGACTAGCGTGTGCGCACGGCTCCTTGACCTCGTTATTGGGCCGGTCATGACTAGGCACGTTCCTGACGCCGGTTCCTTGGTAACGGCTTGCTCCCTCCCACGTCTCTCATCCACACAGCTAACATCAGGGAATTTTTCTTTTTTAAAGCTAGATGGCAATGGAGGGTCTCCTTTCACGCACTCAGATCCATCTTCCGTTTTCCTTTCCATATCACCTTCACACCCTTCCCCTAGGCGTTTTAATTGATTTTATTAGTAATTTTAGTAATTTTAATATTAAACCAAATTATTTTATCATATTCCCTGGTGCTCGTGTTTTCTCACTGTTTTAATATGGAATTACCCAGGGATCACATTTTTAAAGAAATTTCTGATATATATATATTTACTGATAGTGCAACATTCTTTATGTAAAATCTATTTCTTACAAACAGTAACTAAAATGTGCATTTAGGTTTCTCATCATGTACCATGTATACCATTTTAATTTTTAGTACCTATTTTAATATGTTTATTTCCAGTATAAACTAGCCATTCATACACCTCATCACTGATGCACAGTGTATCATACTTAATGCAGAGATCAGCAATTAACTGGAGCTCTTCTTTTGTGTAGACCTAAAATGAAAAAGGAGAAACATATTGATCAGTATATTCAGTATATATAAAGTATATATAAAGTGTATGTATGGATGTATGTATGTATGGATGTATGTATGTATGGATGTATATAGGAAGCAAACTTCAAAACAAGAAGCTCACCTTTCCTATGGGATTATGAGGGTTATTTAGTATAATAGCTTTAGTCTTGGAATTAAATTTATTTGCAAGCTCAGTGGGATCCAAGATCCAGTCAGCACTAGAAGCAACTTCTCCATTCACAGATTTCTGGAATAAAATAGAACATAGTTTATTAACGCTAGGACTGCTTAGTCCAAATCTCCTAAACTGACAGATTTCATTGTCATCCAGACCCAACAAACAAAATCAAATGGATAAATAATTAGACCTCTCTCTACCTCTCTGTCTTTCTGTCTTTCTCCCTCACAGTGGCCATGTTTTCTTGAGGAAAAAAATCGAAGTAGAAAAGGGGGCAAATATGAAAGAGGTTCATAAGGATAAAAAACTGTTTACTTTTTAACTTTACTGAAAAATGCCTGTCAATAATTTCACACATTTTTTTAAGAATGGCCTATTCTAGAGCAAGATTTGAGTTGGTGGATTCCATGGCAAAAATGGGCACTTCCACTGCTTGCCATGCACATGTGGCCCCAGCCATTGAAAATATTACTCATGTTTTGTTCAATTATATCTGCCCCCCTCAGGTTCAGATACATATCTTCCCTATTCGAAAGAACAGCTCACTTGGAATTGAATCACAGATTGCCTTATTTTTCACTTTCACTCAAATGTACATATTGTAAGCAGTTTATAATCAAAGCAGCTGAGCCAAGATCCCAATACACTGAAGAAATTGGTGATGCATTTATCTGACTGCTGACTCCTTGTATTACCACACATGTATTTTATCTCTGTATTTTCCTTTATCTATTTTATCTCAGAACAAGATCATGTATCTTATTTTTACTTGATTTGATATGGTCGTAGGATTCAGTTAATAAACTGTACTCTACTATACCTTTACTTTACTTTACTTTACTTTACTTTACTTTACTTTACTTTACTTTACTTTACTTTACTTTACTTTACTTTACTTTACTTTACTTTACTTTACTTTACTTTACTTTACTTTACTTTACTTTGGAAAACTCAAGAGCAAAACCAAGAAAATAAATAAATAAATCTAAAGATCAGCTTTCTGAAATAAAGGGCTGTCTTTTATAATAAAGGATATATGGTCACTGCACACATATAGCAATCGGCATGCAAAACTTTCACAGTGATAAGATTTATTACTATTACACAAAGTTGTATATTCTTACATTCTAGTATATATCTCTATATGGACAGATGGATGAGAGGAACCAGCAATATTAAAATGAGATGGGGTACAGAATTAAGAAAAGGATATAACAATACCGCTATTTCTTTTTAATTAATTCTGAAGCAAATATTTTCTTAATTTCTTATGTTTTAGGTAAAGAAATATAAACGGTAATTGCTATCAGACCAGATGTTCAAATGTAAGAAAGAATTAGGAAAACTCTGGATATTCATCCTTCCCTTCTTTTCTTCCCACAAAGCTTTAAAGACCAGTTCAGAAGCTTTCTTCCAACTTTTCTTTTCTTGTCACCCAAACCACAGTACTCACATTTCTCAAAGGTATAAAAACAGGTGTGGCTCCTGCCATCCTCACCATGGGCTCATAACAGTCATAGAAGGGTTCAATTATTATTACCTAAAACAAAGGTAAGCTACGTGAATCAGAAATTAAAAAGTGAGCTACCTTTTTTCTAATGTCAGAAGCAGAATTTAGTCCTGACTTAATGGTAATTTTACACATTTGTAAACATTTCCTGCATTAAAGCAAAGTCTTTTGGGGGCAGCAAAGAGGGATGCTATCTCAGATAGCAGATTTTTTCTCAGTCTCTTTTTGTAAAATACCATTGCAAATTTAGAATCAATGTGTTTAGGCGTGAAAGACCAGATCTAGCACGTGAAGATTCAATTAACCTGATTTAATCCTAAAACCTGATGCAAAAGGAATCTTCTTAACCAACCGCTAGCATCTAGTTAGATAAGGGTCAACAGCACTCAAGGGGGTTTGGACATAGCTTGTGACTATGTAGGGATTCCAGGCTGATTCCTCTTTTCACCCTGCCCCTAGATTCTGCCATTCCTTCTCTTACAGAATGAGAAGTATGGAAGGAAATAGAAAATAACAGATTAAGGGGTAATGTCTGCATTGTGCGTGCTGGAGACAACGTGAAGGAATTGGAGACACAGGTAGTCCACGACTTATGATCACAACTGAGTCATACCTGATTTTACTACCTTTTTGCCACCATTGTTAAGACAATCACTGCAGCTCTTAAGTGAATGATGAGGTCATTAAGGGTATCTGGCCTCCCCACTGACTTTGGTTGTCGGAAGCCAACTGGGAAGGCCGCAAATGGTGATCACATGACCTAGGAATGCAGCAACCATTGTACATACATGCTGGTTGTCAAGGGTCTAAATTCTGATCATATGACTACGGGGATACTGCAGTGGTCGTTATGGGCATGGAATAGTGGTAGGTCACTTTTTTTAGTGCCACTGTAACTTTGAATAGTTGTTAAAATGAATAGTTGCAAGTCGAGGACTATGTGTATCTAATAGAGAGAACAGGACTGAATAGTGAAGAGAGAATATGTATATGAGAGAATACGGCATGCGTATAAAAAGCCATGATTTCATTGTCAGATTTCTCCTGAATGAATGAATGAGTGAAATTACTTACTGCTATATATGCTAATTTTGAATCTATCCTGTTCCTAATTTTACAAGAACTGAAAGAAATTGCCATTATTGATGGTCTCATATCATTACAAGCAAAAGACAATAAAAAGCTGAAATCATCTCAAATTTAGAGAAATCAGCATCCAGTTTTTAAACATTGTTAAATCAAATTTACCCTGTGTTTAAAACTACTGTAGATTGCTAGAAAATCCATGATAGAATGTTGCCTTATTAGAATCTGCTTTTAACCATCTTTCATGTTATATTTTTGAAAGCAAAAAGCATTATCCCAAGGCCAAGATATTAGCTGGTTGTGAAATGGCTACCTGTATGTGTCAGCCTGCAGATAAAGCTACAGGTACAGAACCATTTTAAAAAAAACCAGGTGGGGGAGTGATAGAAAGGGAAATCCTCTTTAACCCAAACCAGATTTCTATGCATCAAAAGAGCCAGTTTGAAGTAGTGGTTAAGGTAGTGGCCAACCAGGAGACTCTGAATTCTAGTCCCGCCTTAGGCATGATAGCTAGCTGGGTAATTGTGGAGCAGTCACTCTCTCTCAACCCAACCCATCTCATTTTGGGGAAAATAAAAGGAGGAAGAGGTATTATATAGACTTATTGCCCTGGTTTACTTATAAAATAACAAAGGCAGGATAAAAATATTTATTTTTAAAAAAATAAGGAATGGTTTGAGAAATTGCATTTAATTTCAACGCTGGTTTTTAATAAAACAGAAAATATACAAACCAGTTATTTTATAACAGGAATTGTTACAAAGACTTACTTCATCTTTTGCTTCAATAAGTGCCTGCATTGCACTAAACAGGGATCCATATGCCCCTACTGTCACCAGAATGTCAGTGTATGGATCAATTTCTTTTCTACAAACTTTTTCATACACTTGAGACAGGACTTTCACCAATGGTGGATGACCCTGAGTACATTTTTTTAAAGAGAGGAAAATAGTTAATAGGAACATAGAAAAATACCAGCTATGTATGAGTAATGCATGCATTTGTTCAAAACACAAGTAGATAGATCATAAATCCTTACAGCCAAAGTTTCCAAACTGTGTACCCCGCCCCAGGACACTACAAACCAACAAGTGTGTCATGGGATATTTAATTTTTTTTGCTATATCCATTTGCAAAACTGGAGTTTTAGCAGTATTTTGGCTGAGGGATACCACAAAGAAATTACTGAAATACTCAGGGGGGTGTGAATCAAGAAAATTTAGAAACTTCTGCCTTAGAATAACTTCCTTTTTACAACCCTGTAGTCCCTATTCGGGGTAGAGTTGGGGTGAATGGATGGAGCTGAGTGTTTACTGGCCGGATGCCCTTCCTGATGCCTATGTGGAGTTCACAGCAATTTTTTTTTTATTTTCATCCTAGGAGAGAAATATCTGCCGCTACCTGGGAACTCTTAACCTTCCGAATGGGAGGCAAACATCTTCACCACTAGGTCACCACGCTGCTCTCAATCTCGGTCTTAGAATATTATGACTTAATAATTGTATTGGGGCCTTGATAGCTCTAAATATTAGAATATATTTTTGTATATATTTTTGTAAAAGATGGGAAAATGTTAAATTAGATGAAATAACTTAAGAAAACATACCAAGATCAATTCCACCAAAACTATTATTCTACTCATATAAACACTCTTATTAATTACATATCCTGAGTCCTGCAAAGGAGTTGAGAAAAGCAGACTTTGTGGGTATTGTTTATGGTTCAGCGTTTTATGTAAGCCCCAAAAGATGGGTCAATTGAATAAACAATGGTGAAATTAACCATAACTAATTGCATCCTACAAAGAGAGTCTTTAATTGATTGTTTTACATCATCTGTTAGTTTCATATATATATTTTAAGGAGACTATGTAAGTTAAGAAACTTCTTTATAAATTAGTAAGATATTAGGAGAGAAAGAAAACTATTTTTAGATTGTAAACTTGCATGCTATAACTGATTAGCCCATTCATCTGTAATTAGTAGGCAAGAGTAAATTAAGTATATCTGCATCTTTTACAGCACAGTTTGGGAAATATTCTTATTGATCATGATCAAACAGGGAAATAAACAGACTAAGGTTTGAACAGAAATTCATATTTCAAATATTTCAGTGTTGTCTGGGAAATTCTGGGAAATCCACACTAATTTAGTTTAATGTATTAAATATGTTGTGTGGATGGATGAAATGGGAATTAACTGCAGTTGCACATAACTCTCATTTAGATGATGAAGACCAACCACAGAAGAGAACCTTGTATTTCTATTCAAAATAAGAATCCAAAACTGGGAAGGAGAAACAAACCAGCTGAGAAACATTCAGATTATGCAATTCATCTAAAGCAGGGGTGTCAAACTGCCAGCCCGCAGGGCGGACAAGTCATCTGGAAGCTGCGCCCACCCCATTGCGGGCAATGACAAAAAAGTCCCGATACATCTCGCGACATGACGTCGCAAGTTTGACATGTCTGATCTAAAGTATTGTGTTTAGAGAAAGTCCGGCATGTAATGTACTCACAAAACCCCGGGTATACTGGTTCAGCCTATCCACCGACGATGCTTTTGCTAATTCTTCTTTTACATAGTTAGGAGGAGATATATCTGGAAGTCCTTGTCCAAGATTAACAATAGTGGGATCTGCAGCAAGTTTTGTAAATTCCACCCTACGGAACATAGAAATTATTACAATCCTATTAAATCCCCAAAAACATTAGCTCCACTTCTGTGGAAATCATAACACAAAAATAGCAACGATGTGCATTTTTTTTCAAATTCAAATATTTTGTGTTGATAGTCAGAAACAGTCCGAAACAACTATTCTAACCTTACTGGAAGTGAATCCAATGCTGTTCTGACGATTCTGGAAATATTTTGTGCTCAAAACTGCTTTCCTCCCTCAAAAAATCAATTTCAAACTTGGGACATTTCTGAAATGACCAGAAAAGCACCAGAATACCTCCCATAAGGTTTAAGAATCTGTTTCGAATTCACAGCATCCTTTTAAACTAGACTAGAGCAAATTAAGCTTCATAGTGGCCAACCAACTGCACCAGAAAGGCCACTATTCTCCACTCAGATTACTTCAGAGGTAGTCCCCACTGCCATCAAGACTAACAGCCATTGATCCCCATGACAACCATGAATTGGTCCAATCTTTTTTTGAAATCAGGCAAGCTGGTAGCGAGCACATCTTGGAATACTGAATTCCAAAGCTGAAAACATGTATTAAAAAACCTTTCTAAATACCTATTGGAATAATCTTGCTTTGGGTAGTTTTTAAACAGTAAAGTTGAAACAAAGGGTATTTATTTATTTGTTTGTTTCTTGTTTCATTAATGGGTTCTGTAGCTGCAAAAAATTGAAAATTCATGGCTTATTCAATCCCTTACCCATATATTTATTCCTAACATCCTTCTTCAATTGAATAATTAAATATGTGGCTAATGGATAGAATTCTTATTCAATATCTTGGCTACATAGTTATTCTTACTACTAATTGTACACTAAATTAATCTTTACACATCTCTAGTAATTTTTTTTGTTTAATTTCTGGTATTATTTAATACAAGTATATGAATAGAATTCAATAAAGATAAAACCAGGAAACATGCCAACTCCTGGGAACGTAAAGCAGGCATGTCAAACTCGCGATGTCACGTGATGTCGCACGACGTATCGGGACTTTCCCCCCACTGTCGGCAATAGGGTGGGCGTGGTTTCGGTGTGACGCATCCGGCCTGCGGGCCGGCAGTTTGACATGCCCGATGTAAAGGATGAAAAAAAAAAGTCGTGAGATGAAAACTGCCAACTTTCAGTTGACTTCTGTAGCTGCACCCTTAACAGCAGCATGCTGTTCAATTATTATTTAGAAATGTATCTCCTTATGACATAAACCATAGTATACTGATTTCTGCAATCAAAGTGATATCGAAGGCACAAATGCAGATGAAAAACTAATTACCCTACAGGCATTCTCTTTAGAGAGAATGTTCTGTGGTTTGATTATTGATTAAATTAATGCTTTCATCCATTATTACTTACCACACATTGTTATCAAGCCCTTCAATTCGTTTAGCATTTTTGTGCTTGAAGCTCATGGCCTAGCAGCAAAAAAAAAAATATCAAAGGGGCAAAAGGACTTTTGTTAGAGCCAAAAATAGCATATTATTAGATGGTATGTTAATGTGTGCCACCTCTCCTTTTGTATTTCCCTCTAACTCTGATCTCCACCAACGAAACAGTATAAACTACAACTAATTTCATTTAACATTGAAGAAGCAAACAAGAGTGAAAGTAGGCACATCCTGTATGAAAAAGTATTAGAGCCAAATGAATGGAAACTGGGATGTAAGGAAAAATAATGTGGAAACTGCTTCGAACAGTGTAGAGTTACTCAGAAGAAATATGAGAAGGAAGTTTGCTGGATGCTGAAGAGAAAGAAGTTGTGGATCAGAATAAATGCATGTACAGATTGCTACAAAAAATAAGAGGATGAAAAAATACACTATTGTAAATATATCTCTAGATAAAAAATTACAGAGAAAATAGTAAAAGAAAACAAGGAACAGATAAGTTTAAAAGAGAAAGAACAAACATATAAGTGACTCTGAAGGAAAATTTTAAAAATCATTTGAGAAAGAGTGAATGACTAAACAAAGCGGTTCCAGCAGAGTGGAACAAAATTTAACATACAAATCATAAAATATTTTGGGATAAAAATGAAGTGCCAAAATGCTGTTATTTTGAGATTTATTAGGAAATGAAAATGATATACAGGTAGTCCTCATGTAGTAACCACAACTGGAACCAGCAACTCAAAACTGAAATCATTAAGCAAAGCTGTCACTAAGTGAACCCATATTTGTGCTTATGATCTTTTTTCAGCTTTTCTTTGCTTTACAGACTGCAATGGTCATAAATGTGAAGATTGATCATAAAGTTACTTTTCCATCACACTAGCTTCCATCATAACTGCCAGCAGTCACTAAACGAGGCAGTCACTAAATGAGGACTACTTATAAACTATCCTTGCTTCCAGCACATTGATACACCAATTAATATATTGCCTTTATTCTTAAATTTCCCACTTTTCTCTTTTATTAAGTCTAATCTAAGTATAGAACTCCATAGGTCATACAACCCAACCTGAAACCAACAAATCCTGAATAATTGAGAGAATATATGAAAAAAAAATGTTTATTCTAGCTCTTTCTTTCTCAAGCTTTTAAATATTATTAAGAATTTTTGCATCAACTATTATAAAAAATATATAAATCAAGCAAAAGCATCAAAACTTTTTATTATAATACCAAGCTATTAATACTAATCATTTTAACAGTTCCTCAACAAAAAAATATAAAAACAAACTATGTAACCAGAATGCCAAATGTAGAGAATGATATCTTAAGAGAATTGCATGGAGTTTACTAGACAGAGTAGCACTAACATCTTAGATTCCAACATAAAAGTGACAAGACAAACATACACACCGAGGTCAATTGTTTTAAAGGTTTCAAAGTACAGTAATTACATCAGAGATATCCACACAGAACTTCTATGCTAGCTGTACTTTCTTTGATTGCTCATGGACTGGTTGAGAAGATCCTTGCATGAATAGCCAGCAGTGTCAATCACTAGTCTAATAAATACTGTTTTGCATTTAAAGAAAGACCTGTGGGAACCTCAACTGCACATCTAAATAGAGCCTCAGAGAAGTTAAAGAAAAAATGTAGAAAAAGTTTCTTCTCAATCAAATGCTTTGTCCTCCCCTACTTTTTTCTCTCTGTTTTGTTGTTAATTCTAAAAGAAGCTGCCTTCTGTTCCTGTTTAAAAGATCAAAAAGACCAAATTTAAGGTATTTTTTTCATTTTAGTTCAGTTTTCCCATGATTTTTTTTAAAGATACTACAGTACAGCCTCCATCTCTTTACGCCTTCTACAAATGAGACGAGAAACTAAAGTTATTATGTTTCTTATATTGGCAGTATTTGTAAGTAAGGATTTTTTTTTTGAAGAAATTCAAGTTATGCTGTGCCAGATAACTGCCATTAGTGATTCAGTAGCAAAAGTAACAAACGTGTGTGTAATTATGAAATCTATGAAGAGACGGAATACATACTGAGCAAGCTGAAAATCTGAAGCCTCTCGAAGAGTAATTAATCTTCAGTAGAGTTGTTCTAATGCCAAGACACTTGAAGTACTGATGAGCTAAGAACATTCCTGTGTAACAATAAGTTTTAAGAATGTAAAATAACACACAGATACAACAGAGCCAAAGAGGCAAAAATTGTATTATATTTTAAAATATTTTAAAATGAACACACAGAGATAAATTTATATAATACATTTTGGTAATCAACCAACAAATGGGAAATAAGAAATCAAGAAACATGAGGAAATTAAGAGGGATAAACCCACTTGCTGCACTTATTGGATCAGAATGCAAGTGCAAAAAATAGTAAATATATTTAGAAAAAAAGCAATAGGATCAGAATTAACTCTACTGGAAAGTTTATCACAATTTATAGACAGGCTTCATCCATTGATAGTCACAATTTCTTGAAAGGGAATAGAGCACATTGCATTAAATTTTCTGATCCAGGTATAAGCTTGATAAGATCTGAATTGTTGAGCTCTGGTAATGGATCCAAAGTCATCTTTGCTCTCCAAAGAAAGAGAGAAGAGAGCTGAATTGAGGAAGGTACAGAAAAGGGCAATTACAACAATCAAGGAGTTGAATGTATTTTAGGCTCGTGATAGACAATTCTGCAGATGCAAACGTCCACTGTGTCACAGGTCTTTGTGGGTTGCAGCAGTAACCAAGGAGTTAAAAAAAAAATCATCAAGGCACCCACAATCATACAGTCAAACCTGCCCCATTGGATATGCAAGTGATAACAAAATACATATACAAAAGGGGTATACATATACAAATACATATACAAAAGTTGCTCAATTGTAGCTGTCTCTTGACTTTTTTAACCCAACACTTCTGATGAGTTCACAGGGGCTGATACTGGAGATAACATACCTGGCACAATTTGGTTTTTTTTTTCTATTTTGTTAATACAATAATAAAAAAAGGGTTTTGTATTTTCTATTTGAGCAAGAGCTCTATACAACCAGATAAGCCCCAAATCTTCTATTGCCTCCCTTATAAATGCAGAGGAAAACACATGAACTAATTATATTAACCAGCATTCTCTATCAGGCTAACAATCACTTAAATCTCTAGCTCAGGGGTGTCAAACTGCTGGCTCACGGGCCGGATGCATCATAGCAAAACCGCACTGACCCCATTGCTGGCAATGGAAAAAAAGTCGCAATATATCGCGACACGTCACATGACGTTGCGAGTTTGACACCCCTGCTCTAGCTGGTAGATCTTGACCTCAGTGGAGACCATCTGCCTGCGTTGATTTGCTCCTCCTTTGCTTCAGCACTTTTCTCCAAATTGTCCAAGCTTCACTTCAGGAAATTTCACATTCTCCTTGAACTAACAATTCAGAAGTGTAACATTCCCAACCTATCTCAGGATTACTAGCTATCTTTACAGTGGGGGGAAAAATCCACACGCAGTATCGTCTACATCCTTTGTGAGATGCTACACCACCCCTTCATCTTTTCCCAAAAAAATTCTTTCTTCCCTTTTTAAAGACTCTAACTCTGCTAACTCAGCAACTACCCCTCCGATCTTCAAGGAGAAAAAGATTTCTATGGGTAAGCTATCTCTTATTTTCAGCTAACCGGAATACAGTGCCTTTTTGGATTTATGGATGGCTATATGACAGAATGCTAAAGAGCCATGGATGAGAGCAAAATATTACTGTTTGTTTCAATATATATATAGTTATACAACAAACAGTAGAGAGATTAATTAAGAGGTCACTCATAAAAAAGTGGAAATCCGATATGGAATTAATTACAGAAAAAAAATGTTTGTATTGATTGCCCTTTCTCATTTTACATTTCGCCCAAAGCACAAGAATGAAATAAAGGTTAGTCTTACCAAGTGAGGTTTTCAGATTATTTTGGGTGCAAATCAGGCATCATTTAAAGAAAAAAAACTTATTAAAATTTATTTGGAAACAATTATGTCACTTCTATCCAAACAAATCTCTGCAATTCAGGACTGACTTAATATAGAGGGGGGAAAGCAGCAAATCAAAAGTTTGAAATAACTTAGCTTAATTTCCTCAGAAGAAAGATCTATAGAAAAAGAGTTCCAAGTTAAGTATTGAGAGTATGGGTTTTCCTAAAAGCTAAAAAGGGAGTCCTGATGTCTATCTTAAAATAATAGTATACTCATGTTATTCTCTTTCAAGCTAAGCAACTTTATGCAAAATACAAAAAGCAATAAATATTATGTCAAGCAAGTCATAAGGAAACAATATAAAAATTTAGTTTAGATCTTCATTCATTATACCTGTTTCAATTGTTCACACTCTTGGTTTGCAAATCCTTAAATCAACTCGTATAAGGCCTTTTGATCTTTAAATGTCCCAACTCTCTCTCTTTCAGGATTTCTCAACTGTCTCCTACTACGACTTCCTCAGTTTTCCACTTTCTCTCAACCAATTTAGTTCATTATTTTTTTGCTACTCATTTTTGTATATGTGGCCAAACCTTAGCACGTTTAATGTTGGTAAACCCACTATTCAGTCTTCTTTCCTTCCTTCATCGCTCATTCTTTTATCACCTTATATTTTCTTGCTTTATCACATGTATTTCTTAAGTAACTCATTTCCACCACATTCAATTTATTTTTATGATTTCCTGACTACATATTCAGCCTTAATCTCCCCCCTTCTAAATACAGCATGCCCTGTTAATAGTAGGTACAGTTTGGGCACATTTACAAATAGCTTCCTGAAGTTATTTTTATGCTAAATATAGAAGACAGACTCCTTTTTTTCAAAGTTCAGGAACTCTACTGACCCTTATATCCTGCAATGCTTATTTTTGTTGCAAATCTAAGTTGGTAGGGATTGTATAAGAATAAACCTAGAAAAATGCTTTGCTATTGTGACAAGACATAGAACTATGCTGAGCTCAATAACTAGATTTATAACAAAAAGGAAATCAAATATAAAGCTGGGTCTCTCTGTGGATTGGGTACTAGAACTGTCAGCCAAAGCATATCCTCCCAGTTATTATTTTGTGGGAAGGAATCAGGAGTGAGGATTTTGGGAGGGTGGGTAGATCTCATAAAACGCATAACCCTACCTATAAGAAAATAGTCATCTGTCAGAATGACAGGTTTATGAATATATATTTAGTGGCAGGGAACCCAAGGGTTGGAACCCCACAGATATATTGTGAAATATTAGTTACAAGTCATCTTATTTTTTAATTTGTTGTTTATCACATTTCCACATCCGTCTTACCTAAATGATTCTTGCAGTGTGAAGGTTTCCTGAAATGTAATCTTAAGGAGCCTGTTCACAACCTATAAAATTATGCACTGAAATGCAATCTTAAGGAGCCTGTTTACAACCTATAAAATTATGCAATACCATTTATTTCACTTCTCATTTATTCCAAAAGCAGACCAAGCTGTTTCATATCTTTCTCACTTTCTACCAAGTCTTATTATTCAAGAAACAGAACAGAAGGACTGAATATTCAGATCAGGAAGGATCAGGCAAAATCAATAAATAGAGGGATATTGTGATTAATTCAAGAATAGTTCAGTTAGGCCTTGATTTTGAAGAATAAAAGGGGGGGAAAGGATCTGTTATGGTGTACAATACAGTATTTTCCCAATATAGTACAGATATTCTTTCTACACTGAGCTCAGGGGCTCCAGAACCTGTAAACACACTTTGCAAGTTCGAAGTCCTGTCTTCAGAACATCTGTTTGTATTTATGCCCATTTGTCATTGTTTTTAGTGCCAGGGCTAGATACCCACCTGGGTTTCTTTTGCTCATTCGTCTCTTTAAAAGACTTAATATTTTCACCACTCAGCAAACTGCTCTGTGATAATAAAAAAAAACCCTTATCTATAAGGGAACTGCTGTAATCATGCAGAGAGGAGTAAAATTCACTCCACGCACAGTCAAAACAGTTATTGTCCAAGACGGAGGAGTGAAAGCCAAGCAAATCTTAGCAAGACCTTCCTGGATCAAACCCACATTGTCCTCTACCAAAGGGAGCTGTCCCTTTCTATTGCTAACTTTGCAAATCCTTTCCCACGTTCTTCTTTCTCCCGTCCTCCTACAGAGGTAAAGGCTGATTTTCTTTAATAAAAATAAATCCATTTCCCAAGGAAGCCATTTTTCCTCCCGTTAATTCTTGCTTCTTCGCTCGGCAAGAGACTAACGAGGATTTTATAACCACAGAAAATAAGGAACAAAAAAAAAACCCGTGGACGCGTTTCACCTCCCCTCGACGCTGAAGCAGCGACCTCTAAAAGTTTTGCCCCTTTCTGCGTCCAAATCAACCATGCTGCGTCCTTACCTTACACTTGTTCCCCCCCCTTTCCCCGGATATGGCGTGTCCTTCCCGAAGAGGCGCTGGAAACAAATTTGCGAATTGCTAATCGCCGGGGAGGCTCGGCTCGGCTCGGCTCGGCTTGCTTTGAGTCCTTTATCACAGACCAGACCATTTTAAAACTAAGGACCGAACAGGCTTTTTTTTCCTTTTTTCTTTTGCAAATAGGAATCAGACATATAATATCGCACCTGTAGGCAGCAAAACTATCCAATATACAGTGTAGATCAGGGGTAGTCAACCTTGGCTCTTTTATGACTCGTGGACTTCAATTCCCAGAATTCCTGAGCCAGCTTAGCTGGCTCAGGAATTCTGGGAGTTGAAGTCCACGAGTCATAAAAGAGCCAAGGTTGACTACCCCTGGTGTAGATTAAGCCGCGAATAATACAGTCTGTTGCGATTTTCTTCAAATAACGACACCTATTTTTAGCAGAGGAGAACTAAGTTTGTAAATAGTTTAATTTAAAGCTGAAATCTGATTGTACAGATTGTCCTGGAAAATTAATAGACCCCATACGAATTATTCCAGAGTGTTTTTCAGTAAACAATCTGAAAGAGGATGGCATCATTGCTATTTGTAAAAGATGCTCAGTATGGGCACATTTTCCCAGCCATCTCACCCTAGCATCTGCTTCCATACAATATGGATGCAGGTCCCCATCCACCCACACCCTGAGGTCAGCCTGTAACTGAGGGACATGAATTTGTAGCTGAGGGTTGAAATAGAGATCAACCCTGACTGCTCTTTAGAAGGCCAGATCCTGAAGTTGAAACTCAAATACTTTGGCCACCTAATGAGAAGGAAGGACTCACTGGAGAAGAGCCTTAATGCTGGGAAAGATTGAGGGTAATAGAAGAAAGGGATGACAGAGAATGAGGTGGCTGGATGGAGTCACTGAAGCAGTAGGCGTGAGCTTAAATGGACTCCAGAAGATGGTAGAGGACAGGAAGGCCTGGAGGAATGTTGTCCATGGGGTTGTGATGGGTCGGACACGACTTCGCAACTAACAACAACAAAAGTGCTCTCTGAGGTTGGTTGTTTTCTTGCAAAACATTCCATTACCAAACCAAATAACATCATCAGATTTGTTCCTCTGCCAGCATTTTCACTTCTACTTACCACATCTTCTGCTGAAGCAAGTTCTGGCTTACTTATAAGCTTATATAGGTGGAATTTTAAAAATGCTTATAAATAAATAAGATCACAGTATGCAGTATGTTGGACCAGTTGCTGGATATGATGCAACCTGTGTAGCAGTTAGCTAGGATCTTCATTTGTGCCTGTGCTTTGGGTTGGCTCTCTTCCACCATCCATGACCACATGCTCCTTCAGCATTTGCCTATGTGAGGATCAGTCTAAGACAGGGGTGTCAAACTGCCGGCCCAAGGGGCAGATGCCTCACGCCGAAACCACGCCCACCCCATTGCCGGCAATGGGGGAAAAATCACGATACATCCCGACATGTCATGTGACACTGCGAGTTTGACACTCCTGGTCTAAGAAATCACCTTCCAATTTTTTTCCCCATCTCTTTTTAAAATCTTCAGGTTAGTTGCCCCATAGCAATCCGCAAGGATCAGCTAAGCCATCTCTTCCTTATTTCATTAATACCAACTGCTCGTTTCCCAATGCTGTCCGCTGATCTAGCAACTGTAACAGTGTATCCGATTCATGATGTGATTTATATCTTCATCCTACCATTGCTATGACAGCCCAAACAATCAACAATACTTTGGATGATTGATGTTGAACTTGATAACTGCTGCAAGACTACTAGTAGCTCAATATTGGAAAATAGAACGTTTACCCACTATAGAAGAATGGTCACTTAGTCTCGAACTTAGCAGAAATGGCCAAGATTTCCGCTTTTGTGAAGGATTATTCACAAGAAAGATATATTTTGGTTTGGAGAAGATGGATAGATTATATTGAGCGTAAATATGGGACCAAAAAATATCATTTGGTTTTTGAGTGAATTTTAGAGTATTATTGTTGTATAAAGGTTAGAATAGTCTATTTAGTATTATTTTTAATTATTAAAGTGATGTTATTATTATTGTTTTTAATAACTGTATATATTTGTTTAAAAGAGAGTTAAAGTTGGTTATAGATATGTTATTTTAATAGTTGATTAATGCTAGTTAGAGTATGATTATTTTATTGTTAACCCTGTGATTGGCACTGGGAAGTGAGGGGGGAGGGAGGGGAGAGTGGAAGGGTGGGTTGGGGAAGGGGGGGATTTATATTGTAAAATTTTATAAAATTTTCAATAAAAAAATACTTTGGATGATAATTTGGGTGATCCTTAGGAATTTTGGTGCCACAGGTGTTTTATTTCTCCATATGGAACTGTGGTAAACATGGAACTTCAAAGGACTTTTTTTTTTTTTTTTGCAAATTAGGACCGCTAGTCTAAAGGCTGTCATGCAAGCCAACATACATTTGCCTATATTCTACTTATATATACAGGATATATTGGCAAAGACAGGTAGTAGTGTATTTATACATTGGAATTTCTGTGAGATGGAAATAAGATGGTTTTAGATTAAAATGAACAAGTCTTGCCTAAAGGACGAATATATGTTTTAGTTTCAATAGTGAAAATTGCAGCTTCATACAAAATGCAGGGTAATGTGGAAGAGCAATCTGTACAATAAGGTGGAAAATGGTAATGTAGAAAAAAACATAACATTTTGCATTCAGCTTTAATTTATGGCATCTCTAAAGAAGAATTTTGGATAGAGGAGAAAAAACCTATCAGAAAATCTGGGGAGAGAATATTCTCAATTAGATTATTTAAATTAAGCCGGAACCACTGTTGTTATTTCAATCTTCACATTGGTCAATAGAGGGCAATATTCTATTAACTATTTTCTTTAAAGCTTGAGACTTTAGACAAGAAAAACAATTTTAACAGGTGTCTTCTTTACGTGTACATTCATGATACTAAAACTTTGTGTTGTTCTTTTGGTGAAAATATATTTCTTCTGGAATTTTTCACCACCCAGGCAATACCATACTATAATGGCTTGTAAAACAAACACACTCTACTTTGTAAGTAAGAAAGAATATGTGATATATTAATATACATTTTTAACATCAACACTATCAATTAATTCAGTAATCTATATTTTCTACATTGATGGGAGACTTTTATTAACGTGAATGTTATTTTTGCAAGTAACTGTTTTTCTTTTTATTCTGGCACTACACTTAAGCATGACTGCTGATGCAATAAGGAAATGAAGACCTTACTTCAGTTTTAAAGCTAGCAACAGATACATTTTGGTGCCCAGCTCTTGTATTTGTTTTATTTGTTTAATTTAACTTACACTTAATGTGACTTACTCACTAAAGACTATTAGTTTTTACTGTATTTGTTAAAGAACAGTCATTATTTCTTTGTTCCAGAAATGTTTACTTGACCTTTTCCCATCAAACAATATTGGAAGACCAAACTTTGTATATATTTGCTCAGATGCAAGTCTAATAGTGGAGTTTATTTTTATATAAGGATATTTAAAACATTAGTCTAAGGCCATGAAACGTCTTCTTAATAATGTTTACTAAGATAATCAGAACCCAAGACATGCCAAGGTTTGAAGTCAGTGTCTGAACTTTTAGTATAAATAAATAATGCCATTTTCTCAAAACAAATGAATCAAGTCATGATTCAAGTCAACATGAATGAATCAAGTCAACATGAATTACATCAGAATTGCTCAGTTTTGATTGTACACTAACTGTTGAAGCCCCAATGAAAGCTAGACAATATAGGAATCTAGAAATTATAAATTCATGGTAGTCTAGTCTCTTTAATTTATGTGCCATGAATCTTCTGCTGATTCTCTGTTGTTCTCTGCTGCATTTCGGTTTCCTAGGTTATGAGTTTCCAAACTTGGCAACTTTTAAGACTTGTGGACTTCAACTCCCAGAATTCCTCAGCCTGTCCTAGGTTATACAGTTCAAGTACATTTCCAGCTTATTATTTCAATTCTGCAGCATTCCAGGTTCCAGCCATAAACAGCACATCTTGTTTGCATGTTCAATTTTAAATTGAACTGGATATCAAAGTCACCAACCCTCTTTTATTCTGCATCAGTAGTTGCAGCATAAACTTGGATAATTGTTATATTAAAGAATTGTCCATAAAGCCCAATTGACATTATTGTACTGAAGCCAAGTACTGCATACAAAGTAGCAAACAGTATGATCAACTGACTGAATATGTTCAATTCCAGCCCATCTCAATTCACTGATAACTAAGATATCAATGTGTAGTTGATTCACTGCATATTTCAATGTTGAACTTTCTTTTTATTCCATTCTTAATAAAAATCACTACATGCCACACTCCAACCCTGGGAATTCATCAGTAACCTAAAGCTAAAATTATTCATATTCAAGAATTTCACACTCATAATAAAAAAACACCTGATCTTTATAGGATTTATCATCCTGGTGATCTCATCTGGAAAGCCTCCATCCCTTGATGCTAAC